ATATAACCCCAATATAGCCCCCAGAATTTGTGAGTCGTGCGAGCAGGTGCATCACCTTCTTGCAGAGACTGACGAAGACTCTGGGTCAGGACTTGCAACCGGCATCTTAGGGGATATATATATATATATATATCGGGGTTATAATGGGTATATATTGGGGTTATATAGGGGTTATGTAAGAAGGATTGATATGTATGATGTGATAATGGCTTGCCTTCTATAGATACATAAGAGTTTCACAGCAACGGAGGGTGTCAGAATTGGAAATCTTTTAAAACCTATGACTTACAGATTTCAGATCTTTTAAAACCTCTTTTTTACAGACTTCATAGGCTTAATAGATCTCAAATCTAGAAAACCCATAGAAGCTATAGAATCGGCGGTTCTGAGAATTGGAATTCTATTAAGACCTATAAGTTCTGTAAAACCTTTACAAACCATGAAAACCTATGAGAATTGGAATTCTAGTAAAGCCTATAAGTTCTATAAAACCTATGAAAACCATAAGTTCTATAAAACCTATAAAAACCATTAAAGCCTATGAAACCGCGTTTTTCAAGGTTTTATAGATCTTAGATCTATAAAACCTATAAAATCTAGATAAACCGCGGTTCTGAGAATTGGAACTGTATTAAAACCTTTAAAACCTATAAAAACTTTAAAGCTTATAAAACGGCATTCTTACATAGATTTTATATGTTTCATAGATCTCAGATCTATAAACTGTAAGACCTATAAAAACTATGAGAACGGCGGTTCTGAGAATTGGAACTGTATTAAAACCTATTAAATCTATAAAACCTATAAAGCCTTCAAAACCTATAAAACGGCGTTTTCTGGATTTTTAAAAGTTGTATAGATCTGAGCCCGATAATAAAACCTATAAAGCCGTTTTATAGCTTTTAAAAAGGTTGTTTAGGCTTTATAATTTTTATCGGATTTAATAGAACTCCAATTGTCAGAACCGCCATTTTTATAGGTTTTTGCTACATCAGAGTTGTTGACGTGGCACGCGGTTCGCGAGCAATGGTGCAGCCATCCGAATTCTGAACATCAAGCCCTATGTTCTGTAGCTATATGTATACCTTTATGCATATCTTTCCGCCCGAACAAAAGCCCAGTTGCTTGGCAACACACGCGTGCTGAACTTGGTTTACGAGAATTACCAAGACTTGCCAAGACGTAGAACTGGTTGAGGAAACCTGGCCCGCGGTTGGGGCTGCTTCAGATAGTTTGCGTGTATGGTTCGCACTTTCGTCTAACATGTCTAACTCTTGCAAGAAACAATATGAGTTTATAGATGTACTTCCATCAAAATTTGCGAAAACATTTTTTCAGGGACAGCATATACTCCAAGAGGTCTATTTCCTTTGATACCTAGGTGCCGTAAGAAATTGCACGCGTGCATGGGTTTGAGCAACGTTGTGATGCGAAGTGGAAAACTATTCTTGAGCTGAATATGAAACTGAATACGGGACTATACATGTCCAGCTGATTTTGAGCAGCGTTTGGTTTTACTGCATGTTCCTTTCATTTCACCTGAGCCGTGCGGCGGAATGTTTGCGTGCGTGACAAGAACTGGGTGTGTAGAGATCTCATGAACTCAAAAACAGATTCCCGCGTAAACCATGTTTTCAACACATGCAGGTGTTTTTTATTTAGTATACGTATTCGTGCATGTTCTTTGAGTATTACAGTAACGTGCAGATCCGATGCTAGATCCGTGTGACTGTTGTTTTATGCAAGGCATATAATCAGGTCAAAATACAAGTTCACATGGTTACGGAGAGCGTATCCAAACTAACATGTCCTACTGTCAGCTTGCTGGTAAGGCTTACTTGCAATTTGGAGGCAGAGTAGTACAAATACATTTGCATCGTGTTGCGCAATGAAGTTGTACGCGTGCCACTCTCTTATCCAGTATGGGGTCTTCCTTCTCGAGATGGCCCTCATCCCCAGTCACACTGGCAGTGCAGGAGCTTGTGGACTTCGCCCCTTCCCATGCTTTGCTCAACCTCGAGCTCGTGGCCATCTTCCGTTCTGCTGCGTTTACCCGGGCACTGATCAGCTCCCGTGCGGGCATCTACACGCCCCGCAAGGTGCTGATCAAGGATGGTCGTGCATGGCTCCCCAAACGCTCCATCATGAAGGGCCTCTCCAAACTCCACCGGTTCGGGCCGTTCGCCATTTCCATCTTTTGGCAGTACTACAAGTCCGCCGTGAGATACCCATCGTCACAAGACGCCATTTTGCCGCCACGGGCCCCGGGGCCCGCGCTGGCATCAACTGGCTCTTCGGGTACCCGGCACGGTTCTCCACGGAGTCCCTCGAGCTGCTCGGGCACCTGCTCATCAAAAGCACCTTCCTTCATGCGGCCCCTTGGGATGGTCCCATCCTTCGCGTTGCCAAAGCCGACGTCCGCCGTCACCTGTCCTCGCTTGAGGGGCGTGGCTTCGGCTGCTGTGAGTTCTGCAAGGTTGTGTTTCACCTTTTGCACCATGCGCGTTAAATCGCGCTCTGTTTCGCTTTGCCCGCTGTTTGCATTGCGCCTTTGCTTTCTTGCCGCTGTCGGTTCCTTACCCGACTGCTTGTCCCTTGCTCCCGCCTAGGTCTTTTCATCCAGTGCTACCTCGAGGCTGTGTCCAATTTGGCCAGCGTGTTCGTGCGCGCGTGCTTTTGTCTGCCCGCGTCTGTTTTGGTTTCTGTTGCCTGTTTCCTGTTGTGCTGGCCTTGCTGTTATTTCTGCCACCAGTTCTGCTGCTGCTGCTGTCGGGTTTCCGTCTTTTCCGCTCCCCACTGTGCTGCTTCCAGCTCTTATCCTGGGCTTGCGGCCCCTCTTCCGCCCCTCTTCTGGCCCAAACCCCCGTGGTACCCCTACAAACCCCTATTTGGCACTTGTGGTCCTTTTTTCCTCTTTGGAGCCATCTGCTACCTTCCCGCTGGGTTCCTTTCCGCGGCGGGGGTCGTTGCCGCAGAGCCCTATCGCACTCTCCATTTACTGCCTGCCCCTTGCCGTGCGGTCGCGCCCTCTCTCCCTTGCCTCTTTTTTTTTTTCCGGCCACTCCATTCCCCCTTGGTTGTCACCTTCCCTCCAATGAGCTCCTTCTGCACTCACCTGCTGCGTTGCTGTGCTTTGTTGTTGTTGTTGTTGTTG